CTGGCTACTTAGAAATCCAGTCCCTAAACATGGAGACAGTCACCTTAAAATGACATTTCAGAAATGTGTGGATATAATCCTACTAAATGGTAAGCATTTTTAAAGTCCCATTGATTCTCATCCAAAGAGGTGTAAATGTGCTTAATTTTACTTTTAAATGGGAATGAGAAGTGATAGACTGTGGATTGATCATAGGCCAAGTCTTGTTGCCAAGAGAGCCAGTTTAGAGTAGTGGTTAAGTGTGCGGACTCTAATCTGGGAGAACTGGGTTTGATTCCTGACTCCTCCACTTGTGGCTGTTGGATGACCTTGGGCAAGCCATAGTTCTGTCAGAGGTGTTCTTGAAAAGAGCAGTTTCTGTCAGAGCTCTCTCAGCCCCACCTACCTAACAGGGTGTTTGTTGTGGGGAGGGGAAGGGAAGGGAAAGGAGTTTGTAAGCCACTCTGAGACTCCAAGTGAAGGGTGGGTGTAAATCCAATCTCCTCCGCCGCCTCCTTCTTTCCCTTCTTCGCCTTCTTATTCCCAAGCCTGGGATGGGAGGACATTGCTTGCACAATGACAGTTTCCAGCTTTGTAGGACTGAAAATAATAATTAGCATATTGATTTATTTTTATCCCATGCTTCCTCTGGGAAACTTAGGACAATGTACGTGGTTCTTGGTTCCTGGGCTAGCCCTGACCTGGATAGCCCAGACAAGCCTTCAGTTTCATGAGCTGGCTTATGAGTAGTTTGTTCTCTGTGTTAACAAATGGCCAGCTACAAGGTCAGGAAAAGCTGCAGCGTAGAGAACTGATCCTGGAGAGCAACTGGTTCCTTACACTGGCTGTTTGTTCTTCTTTTAGAGAATTCCCAGTGCAAACTTTGCCAAGAAAACTGGCTGCTTCACGAGGACAAATGCTACTGGGCCTCCAAAGAAAAACAAAACTGGAACCAGAGTCGGCAGGACTGCACAGCAAAAGACTCGCAAATTGTGGTGATACAGGAACAGGAGGAACTGGTAAATACAAACTGACGCCTTCATCCTTAGGTGTTACTGCCTATGGCCTGCCTCGTTGTTTGGGGGAATTAGCTATGCAGCAGGGATGACCAGAGGGGTACAGGGATCACACACCAATTGTATACCAAAGTCCAGTACAGTAGGAAGACTCCAGATTTGAAGAGTAAATTAAATAGTTTTATTTAAAAGTTTCCCTAATTACAAGCACACTAAGCATTCAATAAGAGCAAGCAATACAGAACTAAGAAAGCAGAGGTGATTGATAATGAATCGAGGGGTCAGTCATGGGGTAATACTACCTGTCCAGATGTGCAGAAGTCCTTGAAGAGAGAATAGCGCCAACTGTCAGCGTTATGCACTATGGGGGGGGGGCAGAGAGAGAGAGAGAGAGAGAGAGAGAGAGAGTGGGGGTGTACTCAAAGTATAGGCGGTGTCCTGAGTGCAGACCTGGATGGCCATGTGCGTGGATGGATATAGACCTTGGAATACAATGGCGACCAAAAGGAGGTCTTGAGGGGCTTTTCTCAGGTGAAGACAAAAGATTACCTGGGCCAATCATGGGTCCCAGGGGGTGCGGCATCAGGAAGGGCCAGACTTAGGTGTGACCAATGAGGTTCCAGAGGGGCAGAGTCTGGATTAATGGATTAATGCACTGATGGGTTTTGCCAGGTGCTGGGTGGCTACTTGAATAGGTTTTCTAACCACTAATGGTCCAGTCAAGGCAGTTTGAAAAGGTTCCCAGGTTTATACTAAAGGTGGGAGATAGGTCTCTGATTAGCGTCAGGAAGGATTGCTAAACATTTGAATATATGATTGGTTATCTCGGTATCCTGAGGGATGGAGCAGGAAGGACAAGTGTGAAGACAAAAGATTCTCACATAGACGTGGGTGGACACAAAAGGACTGGGTGCAGTTCTGGAGACAGAAGGGTTATGCGCCAGGTAGCCTTTGAATGGCCTTTAGAAATGTAGATACTTTACCTGGTGGAAGTGCCACTGTTTCATATGAGTACCTTTGCTGGGTGGGGGGAAGAACTGGAGGTTTGCTCTGAGGGCTGCCTTATGCAACCTGAAAATGGAGAGCCCTCTTCTGGAGCTATGGCTTGCTCTGTGCTTCAGACCCAGGAGTGCCCTCCTTGGCCTGAGTTTGTGGGTCTCTGGTTCAGGTTAGAAGTGGGGTGCCCCTGCTGTTGGAGCTACCCTAGAGTAAGGCAGCACCTCTGGGCTACAATTAGGGGTGCCAGCGCCAGAGCTGAGAGATACCTGGAGATTTGAGGGTGGCAGGCTTGGGGAGGGGAGGGATGTCAGCAGGGTATAATGCCATAGGGTCCACTCTTAAAAGCTGCCATTTTCCCCAGGTGAACCAATCACTGTCATGTGGGGATCAACTGTAATTCCAGGAGATCTCCAGCCACCACCTGGAGGCTTGTAACACACAGCCATCATCAGGGGGGGAAACTGTGCATCATGAAAATCTACATTTGGGGGCCTTAATTATTTGGATTGCATTTGAGCAGTTTTGCAACTTTTAAACTTTCGTATTATTGTGTACAACAAAGTTTGAATTCAGTGGTACCTTTAAGACCAACAAAGTTTTATCCAAGGTATAAGCTTTTGTGTGCAAGCACTTATACCTTGAATAAAACTTTGTAGGTCTTAAAGGAGTCACTGAATTCAAACTGTGTTCTGTGGGTTCAGATCAACATGGCTGCCCACCTGGTATTATTGTATAGTTTCTAAAACTGATGTCAGTGATGTCCTTTTTTCTTTAAGCTAAAGTAGGATCAATAAAGGTAGTCCTGCATTGCGTCTGAGAGCAGCAGCGTGTGCTTGGTGGCATTTCTTGGGAAGACAGTACATTCCCTACCACCACCACTCCTGAGTCTGGTGCCTCCACACTGGTTGCGCTGCTGCCCAGCCACATGCACTGTATCTTGGTGGGCATCCCTCTAAATAGAAACTACTCCACAGCTCACTTTAGGGAAGGGGTCCCCAGCCTTTTCAAGTCTGCAGGCACCTTTGCAATTCTGCGAGGGGATGAGGGATATCATTGCCGACTTGTAGTGGGAGGCCTCCTGCCCTTGCTCCTCAAACTGGCAAAGGGAAAAGGCACAGGCTAGAATGAGGTCCAAAAACAGGTGATGTTACATCTGCCCAAAAGCCTAGATTTGATGCCAATGCCCTTGGGCGATGCTCTGGCCATCCCAGAAAACTCCATAGTAAGCCAAAGATTACCATGTGTGGTTCTGTTGCTGTTTCTTGCAGGAATTGGGTTCCCAGGTCTCCTGCTACCCCCCCCCCCCCCAATCAGCCACCACCTAGTAGGGCAGCAGAAGAAAAAAATAATAAAAAATCACAGTCATGTTGGCAGCATGATGTTATTTCCCAGGTGAACCAGGAAGTGACATCACTTTGCTCTAAGATTCAGCAGAAACTCTGTGGTAAAGCCATAGAGTTTCTACTGTATCTTAGAGCAGCATCACATCCCTTCTGGGTTCACCCTAGAAACGACATCATGCTGTTGATGCAATGGCACCCCTGTATGTCCCCACCCCCTAGTCTCCTGCTGTGTGCCAGCTACCAGCAGTCAATGATACATGGACAGTAGTTGTGTACTCATGGGAGGAGCACGCTGTCATGTGTCTTAAGGGGAGCTGTGGAAGGGCTACTGCTTAGAAGGACGGGCATAGTGAGGCTCATGCAAAGCATGGCAGAAGCACACCAAATACAGAGCCACAGGTACTGTCTTCCTGATCTAGGTTTGTACATGGTGCAGAGTTGCACCTGCTGTCAGGTATCTGACTGTATTTTATGGAGCAGTAACTTAACTAGTGTCTACATGACTTCAAAACCAGCTGCTTTGGGGTGTGTGCGGTGGGTAGAAAGGCATGGTACACATTTTAAAATGAAATATTATAGAATCTGCAGATCTCTTGTATCACTGGCAGGACTTCATACAGAGTATTACCGATGGAGCTCAGCTACTGTGGATTGGAATAACCACCACTTCCCCAGCAGGAGAATGGATCTGGATAGATGGTTCCCCATTAAATAGTACCCTGTGAGTATTTCTTGGTGTTCACAAGCATTTAGGTTGGAAATATGTTAGGGTTCCCCCACACACACAAACACCACATCTATATGCTGTGAAACAGATGCAATGAAATGCCTCACATATTACAAAGTATGGCATGCATACTGCACTCCGCACATGGGAACTTTTTAAGAGAGTAATGTTTGAAATGGCCCTCATTTAAGAAACACTGTTCTGAGGTGGCAGCTTTGCTATGGGAACTATAAACTATACTGTTGTAATAATTCAGCTATCAGTGTACACAGAGCTTTGCAGAGTACAAGACCATTCCCTGCCTTGAGGAACCCAAGGCAGGTGACTTCCATACGGTTCTTTTGTCCATGGGCTTCCCAACTGGGCATCTGTACCACTTCCTCCTCCAATGGACCACTTCCCAGATTTTCCCTTGCGTCCTTATGATCTTTCCAGAAAGACGGCATTCCAATCAGGTTATCACACAGTCTGGATAGAACATTGTGCATTGTTTTTAATCTCCCGCGCCCATCAGAGCCATTTTACTGCCATCATCCCCTTGAATCCACCATTTTACCCTGCTGTGACGCTGGCAGGCTTTTTGCCAGTTCCTTTTCTTTAAGCCACTAGTTTGCGACAACAATTTTATTGTATTTTTTGCTGTCATGTCACAGCTGACTTATGGTGACCCTGCAAGGCCTTCAAGGCAAGAGACTTATGGCGACCCCGTAGGGCAGGGTTGTCAAACCTGTTGCCCATGGGCCAGAACTGGCCCACCCAGGGCTTTAACCTGGCCCATGAGTGGGGCTTTCTTCTCTCCACCCCCTCTGTGCCCTCCCCTGCCCATATTCACCCTTCTGAGCTCGGGCGGCCTCTGAGTGCAGGGAGCAGAGGATGGGGCTGCCAAACTACCCAGCTTGCTCGGCCTTTCAGTATGTTCGTCTCTGCCTCCCAGCCACCAGTCCTGGCCTCTGTCATCCTCACAGTTAGGGGCTGTGAGGCATCCTTCTACTGTGATCTCTTGTGCTTCTTCTTGACATTTTATTCTTTAAAATTGCATTGCCAAATCCCAGTATTTCCCCACTTTTCCATTTTAGGTAGGTATCTTTTAAGGTTGGGATGGAGGTTTGGGACCAACCACAGTTAAAATACAGAGTTCTACAAACTCAAGGAACTCCAGTTTTGCAGATAAATATTAGTTTGTTTGTTTGTTTTTAACAATTTTATTAGGATATATTAATGTCAAACATACGTCACTTTACCAACTGTCATATATCCTTTTCTCCTAATTACTCACCCCTTCTGACTTCCCGCAGTGCTCCAACCTCCAGCCCACATCTTATATTCCCCTTTTCCCCCCCTTACTCATTAATTGAATAGATAAATATTAGTTTTAGCACACACACTCCTAATGTGGGGCTCCAATGCAATATCTCCGCTACCTGGCATTATATATTATGACACACATGGCCCGACTTGTGGTGGAGCTGTGGGAAAATGCAAAAATATTGGGAAATGGTACATGATATTATCTTAGAAATATTAAATTTAGATGTCGCATTAGCAGCTGAAACTTATTTATTGAATATAATTCCGAAGGATTACGTTAAACAAGATGTATATCTACTAGTATACATTATAACCGCTGCGAAAATACTAGTGGCAAAAAAACTGGAAGACGGATAAAACTCCCTCGAAAGAGGATCTAATAATTAAACTTCTTAAACTAGCACAAATGGACAATTTGAGTTTAATACTGCAGGATAAAGACCAAAAAATACAGAATAAAAGATGGCTAAGGGTTTATAATTGGATAAAGCATGTAAAAGTAGGATAAGAAAAGCAAAAATGGAATGAGTGATTAGTTGTAATAAGACATGTAACTTATAGCAATGACTCTAAAACGTTTGTGTAATTGAAGATACTGAAATGTTTGTAATTGATTGAAAATATGTAAAATAAACGTGGGGAGAGGGGGGGAAAAAGACACACATGGCCCGACTTGACGAAGTGCCATTTATATCAGATCTGGCCCTCATAACACATGAGTTTGACACCCGTGCTAGAGTTTCCAAGGCAAGGGATGTTCAGGGGTGGTTTGCCATTGCCTGCCTCTGCATAGGGACTCTGGACTTCCTTGGTGGCCTCCCCTCCAAATACCGACAAGGGCCAGGACTTAATGTCTGAGATCTGGCAAGACCTGATCCATCCAGATCTCTATACTGATGTCCTGTCGAAGGGAGGGAGTGACTATGGCCACCTTATGGCCAATATGCAGTTGACGTTTGCCTTCATTTTACAGGTTGCAAGTGACGGGTACAGTTCAAGCCAACAGCTGTGGGATGCTGAAAGGAAACAGAGTGGTTTCTGAAGCTTGTAGCGCTGTAACCAAATGGATCTGTGAGACAGAAGCACTTCTGGTGTAAACAGTACAAAAATAAGCTGTGAGGAGGAAAAAAAAAACTGAGCCTGGTCTCAGAAGGGGCGGGGGGGGGGAGCACTATCCTGCCATGGTTATGTACTGTGTTTAGAGGTATGGAGGGCTAAGCTAAAAGGAGAGGTCACATTTTGTGAATATTTCTTACTGCCTGTGAAAAATGCCTGGTTTGTGAATGAATGTTGTGGGGGGTAGGAAGGGCTACAAATGGACTGATGGAGGCAAAGTTATTGTAAACATTCTTCGCTCCTTGAGACTTAGGGCTGGGTTAGAAGAGAAGGAGTCAGTGGTGTCTTTCAGTATAGTGCTTAAGTGTGCGGACTCTAATCTGGGAGAACCGGGTTTGATTCCCCTCTCCTCCACTTGCACCTGGCTGGATGACCTTGGGCAAGCCATAGTTCTGGCACAGCTGTCCTTGAAAAAGAGCACTTTCTCTCAGAGCTCTCTCAGCCCCACCTACCTCACAGGGTGTCTGTTGTGGGGAGGGGAAGGGAAAGGAGTTTGTAAGCCGCTCTGAGACTCCTTCGGGTAGTGAAGGGCGGGGTATAAATCCAATCTCTTCCTCTTCTTCTTCTTGCCTCAGACTTCAGAGGGGGAGACTATAGAGCCAGAGAGAGAGATAGGCCAGGACCTGTGCATCCTTCCCTTCTGTTGCTCTGCTGTTGTTCCTTTGATGTGTAGGGCTGTGATCAGACATGCAGTTTCATCCATTGCCACTGCTGTTCCCTCACAGATTTAAAATGCACAATCAGACAGCAACATCTGTCTGTCATGCTTCAGTTGTCTGACTCCCCCACCCTTACTGCATGTTTCTTTGATACCTGTGAAAGTCCATTCTTATTGGTCTGAGCTGGTCCCAAAACAGATTTCCTGTTGTCTGATCACTCTGTTGCACACCCAAGCCATCAGGCAGGTCTGAGTGGTCTCTTGTTTTCTGGCCACCATTTTTTTTCTAGTTAGTGTGCATAACTGCATATTTGCACCTCTCTCACACACTCACATTCACACACAGGGGCTGCTTAAAACTTTGTTTTCTTTATAAAAACTTTCAAAGGAAGACGCCTCTGTACTTCAGCTTTTTGCTGTGCTTTGGGGAAGGGGTTAAATGAACAGTGTAGAGAGGGAGGACAGCCATGAACTACATATCCCAGCAGGCTCATCAGCACTTGTGCACATGCTCAGAGGATAAACCTTTTTAAAAAATGGCCGACAGTCCCATGAACTACATATCCCAACAGGCTCAGTCGTACTTGTGGGCATGCTCAAAGGAGAAAGAAAAAATGGTTGAAGGCTTCTCTCCCTGCTTGCTGGTCTGATCACTCAAGGACAGGATAAAAGCACTTGAAGAGTGCTAAAAGGAGAGAGTCTGATCATGATTCTCTGTTGCAAAATAAGCTAGATCAATTAGAGACTGTCACTCTTGGGGTAGCAACAGAATGACCTGGAAGATTAAACTGTTCTCCCACTGGTTTTTGAGTGCTGTAGTTTTTAATGTCAGATTTATTTCCATGTATTGTTTTGCATAGGGACTGAGTTGGTTGTCTGAATAAGATCCTATCAGGAGCTTAAGCCCATGACTTTCTTCCTATTTTCATTAGCGTTATAACAACAATCTATTCAAAATATCTGTGGCATGTTCCTTATGAAGGAATTCCCTACTATTCTGATCCTTTTGTTATTCTGACACCTGGTGACAGATTACTGAAGACTCAAAGAGAAGAAATTTGGGGAACAAAAAGTGGAGGAGATAATGCAGATGGTGAATATCCTACAATAGTCAGCAATGTTACATCAGGGAAGGAAATAAGAAAGAATTCAGAATTTAAAATTTCAGAGGGTAGTTGTGTTGGCCTGCAGGAAAGCAACTAGATTCGAGTCCAGCAGCACCTTAGAAACCAACAAGATTTCCAAAGCATAAGCTTTCAAGAGTCAAATCTTATCTGAGAAGGGAGTTTTGACTCTCAAAAGCTCATGCTCAAAACTAGGATTTACACTGTCTCACTAAGTAAATCTCAAAAAGCTAACACATTTGCTCGTCAATAAGGCGAGACTTCCTTCCTCACCCATCTTCACACCTAAACCACAGAGTTAGCTTAATCCTTAGATTTAAAAATGTTTTAAACAATGAACACTACAAACCAACCTAAGCTGAACTATACACACTTGGCTGGCATCCACCCTTCCCATCCTCCCCTGAGGTATACTTAAGGGAAAGGAGACAGTGTATATGTGTAGAAGCTGGCTGGGAATTGACTGTGTGTACTCTTACGCTAGAGCTGCGGTGGCTCAAGTGGTTAAGACATTGAACTGCAGGCTGTGGAAGGTCGGTAGTTCAGCGGTTCGAGACCTGGATTGCCGCATGACGGAGTGAGCTCCCGTCTATAGTTCCAGCTCCTGCCAACCTAGCAGTTTGAAAGCAAGAAATTGCAAGTAGATAAATAGGGACCACTTCGGTGGGAAGGTAACAGCATTCCGTGCGCCTTGGTGTTTAGTCATGCCGGCCACATGACCACGGAAACGTCATCGGACAGCGCTGGCTCTTCGGCTTTGAAACGGAGATGAGCACCGCAACCCTAGAGTCGGATTCGACTGGCTTTCGAGCAAGGGAACCTTTACCTTTACCTTTACTCTTACGCTGTTGTGGCCATTTCCTATATAACACCTCCATATTCAGAGGCAGTAAAACTCTGAGTACCAGTCCTAAGAAGATACAGCAGGGAAAACCTTGGCCTCTACACCCTGTTTATGAGCCCTTGAGGGCATCTTGTTACACCAGCACCCCTATGGTTATCTAGGGCTTCAGTTCACCCCAGGAAATAGAAGAGGGGCCAGCTAAAAGTCCCCCACCTCCCGTTCATACCCAGAGAAGAGATCCCCCAAGGCCAAGGGGAAGAAGTAGCTTCATCAATCTCGGAGGAAATAATTGCCAACTTTTGTCAAAATGTGAAACAAGGTTTCCAGCTATCCTTTTGCAAGGCTCATCCTAAAAGCAAAAATCCTGATTCCAGCCACAAGAAACAGTCTGCGTTTGGGACACCCAAGGACAAACATGACAGAAGACATAAAGAGATTTTCCTAAGCTGAATGTCTAACAAATCCAAGAGAGCAACGCAGACTTCTTCCTGAGGAATTATAATTATTAGAGCAAAAACTCATCTCCTAAATCTCAACACATCTGTAAGCAAGTATTTAAATATTGTTTTTTAGATGATCAGCATAATCTCAGGTTAACAGTTAGCTTTGTGTCGTTCCCCCCCCCCCAATCTTTCTCTCCATTGCTATGCCACAGTTCCTGCCATGGAGCATCCCCAAAGCCTCTCTCCAGATGCTCCAGACACACCCATTTCATGTGTCCAGCATAACTCTCCCTTTCTTTCCTCAAGCTTACTTCTTGCATTATCTTTCATTCTCTTTCCAAAAAACTCTCCCATCTGCCCCCCCCCCCGCCACTGGTGAGGGATAGGGACAGGCCTGTAACTAAAATGGGGTTTGGGGGGCTCTGCCCCCTTTCTTAAAGGCACAGCCCCAGAAAAATTCTCCTTAAGTGCTTTTTTCAATTAATTAAAAACCATTTTTAAAAGGTCTGTGCTCCTTTAAGCAGAGTGAAGTGCTGTAGTTGACTAATTCCCGCACTGAGCAAGGGGGTTGGAGTAGGTGACTTCTAGGATAGCTTCTAACTCTGTCAAGAAACTGGTGTCCTTTAAGAGAGTTTTTCTGCCGGTTAGCTTTCTTGACTATAGAAGTCATCACCCCTACCTGCCAGCTTGTTATCAGAATTGTTGCTTAAGCTGGTAGGAGTGATTAACTTGCAGCAGCTGAGAACTGTCATCTAAAGTGGTCGACAGCTTTCAGTTTAGAGATCTATCCTGGTAACAGCTTTCTATTGGCTAAATGGGGTTTCATCCAGTTTGGTGTAGTGGTTAAGTGCGCAGACTCTAATCTGAGAGAACCGGGTTTGATTCTCCACTCCTCCACTTGCACCTGGCTGGATGACCTTGGGCAAGCCGTATTTCTGATAAGAGCTGTTCCTGAGAAAGAGCAGTTTCTGTCAGAGCTCTCTCAGGCAGCCCCACCCACCTCACAGGCTGTCTGTTGTGGGGAGGGGAAGGGAAAGGAGTTTGTAAGCCGCTCTGAAACACCTTTGGGTAGTGAAGGGTGGGGTATAAATCCAATCTCTTCTCTTCTTTCTGCACTGAGAACTTCAGCCCCACCAGAAAAAAAACTGCCCCACAAACCACAAAATCCTGGCTACGGGCCTGGATAGGGGGGTAGAGGGTTGCCAGATCCAGGTTAGGAAACTCCTGGATATTTGGGAATGGAGCCTGGGGAGGACAGGGACCTCAAGGGAGTACAGTGCCATTGAGTCCACTCTCCAAAGCATCCAGTTTCTCCAGGGGAACTGATCTCTGTAGTCTGGAGATGAGGTGTAATTCCAGGCAATTCCCAGGTCCCGCTTGGAGGCTGGGATCCCTCCTTCCTTCGTCTCATGCTCCTCAGAGACATGCACACATCCACCCAACTCTCCCATGAAGGAAACATAACTGGGTCTCTTAATCACCAAACATTTTAGTAATTGTTGAATTAGAACTTACCAAAGTAGATATATGAAGTATTTTTACTTGCTGGGTGTTTTGATTGCCGATTGCCTTTCAGATTTCCTTTCTGTCATGCCTTCAGTCAATCACTTTGGGCGGGGGGGAGGAGAAGCAGAGGAGATAATAAGTCAACCCTTTTAAAAGTATGGCCTCATTATTTTACAGGAAAATACTGCACCAGTCTGCAGTCTGTGTACACAAAGGCTCAGGTCCCAAGAGTCAGGGGTAGTTGTACAAATGGCCACATACTAGTGATCCACATACATGTGTCTCGAGATTACAAACTGGTTGGCCGCTGTGTTGGACTACTTGGTTGAACAGGGGTAACCATGTTCGTCTGTTGCAGGAAAATAAAACAAAGGTCCAGCAGCATCTTAAAGACTGACAATATTTAATTTAACATGAACATTCATGAGTCCCCATTCACTTCTTCATGTACATATGGAAATCAAACTGAAAATCCTTATGGGGCAGGTAACAGGGAGGGGGGAGGCAGAGAGCTTCTTGAAATACTACTGAATTAATCTTTGCTCCCATAATCTGCCCCATAAAAAGTATTCTCAGTTTGGTTTATATATCTGACGGAGTGTTGACTCATAAAAGCTCATACAGGACTGAACGGACCACCGGTCTGATCCAGCAGGGCTCTTCTTCTGTTCTCCCTCTTCATGTGACCAGCATGGCAGGCAATGTTTGGAGCAGTTTACACATCACGTCAAAGAAGGCATCTTAAACCTATAGGAACAGGTGGGTAGCCATGTTGGTCTGAAGCAGTAGAACAAAGTTTGGATCCAGTGGCACCTTTGAGATCAACAAAGTTTTATCCTGGGTATAAGCTTTCTTGTGCATGTGCACATCTTCAGAATTAAACATAACATCTGAATTTGGATGTTGAGGAAAAGGAAGATCTGGTGCTCTTCAGACATTGAAGAGCCATGTTATGTATTAAGGTGGCTGCGACTGCGTGCGCCTGGCCATGTGGTCGAACCAAACATGGACCTTTGGGTCCGAGAACAATAGACACCGTGGATCCTAGGCACGGACCAATGGGAGCACCAGGATCCTGCAAGGAACCTTTAGTTACTGAGGGCATGTACATAGAACCTATCATGGGAATCGGAGGTGAGTTGGGTGTGTGTGTAGACAAGAATATAAGGCAGCTGCAGACCAGCTAGTTCATCTTTTCATTTCCTAATGCAATCAATAAACGTGTACTGATTTCACCATGCTACGCCTGGAACTCCAGTACTTTCCACTGGCGACAAAGGTGAGATCCAGATGAGCGAGCCAGACTCTACCCCAGGACCCGCAACGAGCATTGATCAACCAGACGTGCCCCGCACCGCTGCCCAGCAGCAGAGCAGCACCGTGCCCCATCCCTCTGATCACCACTCCCCGAACCGTCCAGGAGTCATGGCCACAGCGTCTGGAGCCATCGAGGATTTCGACCACACACACTCAGAGTTCTGGGAAGCATGAGTAGACAAGCTGACCAACCACCTCGACTTCCACGACATCACCGAAGCTGCAAAGAAAAGGTGCCTACTAGTAAGCTCATGTGGGGTGGCCACCATCCGTCCGGTCAAAGGCCTCATTGCTCCAGCGACGTTGGCAGACGAGACATACGATGAACTCTTTAAAGTGTTGAATAGCTATTTCGTGCCAAAGCCCACTAAGATGGCAAAACAAATGGACTTATGGGCGCGGACACAGAAAGCCGGGGAAGCTGCCAGTGCAGCAAATCTTTTTATGGCAAGACTCAAGAGTGATATGATTTACCATGAAGATAGAAATCTATTTTTTGGCCTCATAATCATTTGTAAGAGATATGTAGATGATTTGTTCCTGAGCCTTAGAAATAATGCCCTGACAGAACAATTTTTGAAATGAATGAATAGCATCCATGATGATAGTAAGTTTTCTGGCAAGGTGGATAGGAATGTTGTTTCCTTTTTGGACATGTCAGTTTACCAAACTGTTAACAACAAATTAGTAATGAAAATTTTTAGGAAAGGAACTGACAAGAGTTCCTGCCTTCACTATCAATCGTTCCATGAGGCATTAAAACCATAGCTGTCGATTTCTTCTGGACAATGGCCCACGTAAATTTGGACAGAGAAGCTACAATGACTAGACAATACAGCCATGTGCCGGAGGCAGCAGCCCCATGTGATCCATGTAGAGTCTCAAAAGGTTGAATATCCTTGGGAAGGGAGTCTGGGTGAGGGTTTTGCTATGTTATTTAAACAACCTTTTCATGATAGACTGGATGAAATTATATAAGATTTTTATATAATAAAAAATGTTTTTTGAAATACCACAAAATGGTTGTCTTATTTCTTGTCTTTTTTAGTACTCACTATAAGATCCTATACAAAGGTTATCTAGAAAGAGAGTTGGAAAAACAATACATAAATAGAGTGAGCAACTGAATATAAGCCAAAAGCACAAAAGGAATAGTTCATAGTTCATAGAATATAGCTGGATCACTCACCAAAATAGTTGTTTAGAAAAGTTCCTTAACAGGATAACAGGAATTTAAATAATGGCACCAGTCAAAAGCCTTATCCGGTATCTCCAGTACCTGGAATGCCTCTGTGGGTTGCTTTTTGGAGGCCAGCCTGAGTACTCTGCATCTCCTTTTGGTTCTATGGTAGCCTTCAGAACAATTAGGAATTGTTTGAAGCTTCTATTTTTTAGTAAAGTCCTTTTTTTCAACTGGGTTCAGACTGTCTCTGGAGTCATTCTTATGTGACACCATTTGCGCCGACAGCAGTTACCACATTAAGCTAGGATCATCTGGGAGCTCCAAGTTCAAATGCCATTCTGCCGGAAAATTTGCTTCTGACCTTGCGCCCATTTCATTCTCTCAACCTTATAAAATAGCATAAGCCATTATCCCCCACTTAAGGGTTTTGCTTCTAATATTCTGTCTGTGTTTGGAACAATGTATGTTTGTGAACACCTCTTTTCTGTAATAAAAGTCCATAAATCAAAAGTACCTTCTCAGCTTAGAGATACAAACCTAAACAACATACTCAAGATTGCTGCAGCTCAGACACTGACTCCAGATTTTGATGTAATGATTTAGAGCAAGAGTGGTCAGATCAAAGACGGTTGAATAAAGGAAATGCTCTTGATGTTTTAACCATGTTTGTATTTTGAGTAAAAAACGACATTGTTAATCGGGTTTGCCTGTGTCTTTTTTTATTTTTTTATATATTTTTTATTTTGCTTATAATTCCCATAATACGTTTATACAAAACCTCATAACAAAAGAAGGAATTACATTTTAATTTATCAGAGATACCGACAATATGCCCAAATTGGATTAATTTATAGTATATCTATTGTCGTATCTTAACAATCCACTTGGGACCGTTCCCACACCTTAGTTCTACGTACTATAAATAAATAGATACACAGTTCATACATCTTTTGGTATTTTTACCCCTCTTAGCCCCAAAATGATTTTATTTAGATATTTATTAATTATTATTTATCAATTTATTTCTTTACACTTCTAATATATAATTTTGTTATTTAGCTATTACAATAAAAGGAAAGCAAGAATTAATGCTGAACACCAAAATTTTTATCTTCTGGTATTGATCTTCGGGATGTGCTGCTTTGGTTTCCCAAAGGAGTTTCTTAAAGAGACTCACCATTGGCGGGCTGGGGATCTTCCCCATACAGTCTTACCCGAGTTGTTCAGTATCCCAAATTAAATGTAAACAAAAGTTTCTATTCCAGCGCTGCCCATTTCACATCCTTATCAAATATAGTTCTATGAGCTCCCAGCAGCCTGCATAATAGCCGTAATCATTTCCTCTCCTGAAGGTACATCACACGCTGTCCAAGTCTTTCCCCCTTGAGTAACTGTGAGGTGACCCAGAGGTAACCACCAACATGGTATTTTTAGTTCTATTAATCTCTGTACCACTAGGTGCATATTTCTTCGAACAGTCAAGATTTCATATGAGAGATCTGGAAATATTTGAGTGGTAACATCAACTAATTTCAAACCTTTTGGCTATCAGCAGTTTCTAAAATTAACTTCTTTGTTTGAACATCCACAATCTCTGCAACGACATCCAGGATTAAAGATGGTGACCCGGATCTCCTAGTATTTAGTCTGTATGCTGTCATGACCACTGTACCCAGAAGTTTCAACTCCCCACTCAGCCATGAATTTAAAGCTGTAGTCATATTAGTATTCAGTTCAAAGTTTGGTGGAATCCCACGGATTTTAATTTTCTGTTCATGCACTCTGAGTTCTAATAACATTAATTTACTTTTGGACCAGGTTTCATAATTGCGTAGCTTGAAGATAGCTTGTTTATTATTTTTCACTTCTGCTGCAGTGGAGTCTGCAACTGTTTTAATTTCATCCATGCTTAGTTAGATTGTCTATTTTTGTTGTCATTGGAGTAATAAGACTCTTAATTTCTTCTTTTATTTCTTGTTTCAGTTCTGTAAAAAATTCTTGCATGTGTTTTTTTTGTAATTGAGCCTTCGCATTTCCTTTTGCTGGCCCAAGCCTCCACTCCTTCTGATTCAAGCGGTGTGTGTGTGGGGGGGGAGTCTTTGTTAGATAATTCTGATTCCTCCTTGGCTGGTGGAGGTCTGTGTGTTTTCTTCTTTTGACCCTTGGGTCGACCCATCTCAGCCTTCAAGATTAGAAGTTCTGTTATCTTTATAATAGGCATTTTAAATTCTTTTAGTTTGAAACAACATGGAGACAGCGTCTGGAGCGGGCGTTCAAATCAACGTCTGCTGGAAGTTGCCCCGCCTGTGTCTTTTCGGAAGTTTATTATCTCCAGTACCAGGCATTAGATTTTATGGCACACATGGCCCAGCCGACAAAGTGACATTTATGTCATATCTAGCCCTCATAACAAAGGGAATCTCTTTTTACAATCTCTTTTGACAATTTACAGGTTTCTGAAGACTGGAACTGCAACTGAATTTCTTCCCACACTTGGAGCATTCCAAAGGTTTCTCTCCAGTGTGAACTCTTAGATTTTTTGAAGATTGGAACTGCACCTACATCTCTTGCCACACTGAGCACTCAAAAGGCTTCTCCCGTGTGGGTTCTTTGATGCTGTTGAAGAGTGCCACTGCGTTCCGGTTTTTGGCAACCTGCTCTTGGACGTGTCCCATCGATCCTCCAATGGAGATGCGCCAAGCCGAGGCAATCAGGAGGGGTCGTGGCTGGCTCCAGACCCCCACGGAGTCTCTGTAGGAGACTCTTAGCCTGGGAAACCAGGATAAGCCTTTCCCAAGCTGAGGGATCGAGGCTTGCCTGTCCCCAAGAGGTCCTGATGCTGCCAAGCCAGTATGGCATCCAGAGCCGACCTCCAGACGAGCGGACAAGAAAATAAGCAAAAGTAACCCCCAGCAATAATCCAACTCATCTACACAGTGAGTCAATCAAACCTCTGTATAAGTGAAGATGTCTCGGTCTGCCAGATCGATTTGAGAGGGAGCAGCGGGTGGGGAAGGGTTGCAGATCCACCCCCCTTAAAACGGAGTGGTTCCCAAATGTTATAAAAAAGAGAGAAAGAACAGAACTAACCGTAAGAGACTTCTTTTGAGCTTGAAAGCTACATTTTAAGCTAAGAAACGTTGAATTCAGATAAACTTTTCTTCTTTTCTTCTTTATAAACAAATGGCTGGGAGAGGGAGGAGAATGGCAGCCGAAAAGAAACTTCCTTCAGGAAGTACTGTACCAACGACTCCCACCCAGACACAGGAAGCGGCTGCAGGCTTTCCCAATATGTTAGCAGCAGCATTGCACCCTCTGCTAGAGCAGATGTCAACTATCAACACCAAGCTGGATTCTGTACAAAAACAACTTGCCCACATGGAAAAGAGAGCCAATAAGACAGACAAAAGGATTGAGAAAGTTGAAATAAGGATAATAGACGTTAAGCAAAAACTGGAAGAAGTTAAAAAAGAAAGAATCACGGATAAAAACCAACTACTCCAACTTCAACTGGAAAAATCTATGCATGTTCTATGCTTCCAAGGAATTCCTGAACAGCAGGGAGAAGATTTAAAAACAATGTTAAGTGGAGCAATTGCCTCAATCTCGAACTTAAAATAAGAGGATCTTCAGAGCGACATGGACTTGGCATACCGTACATATTCTGATTTTATAAGAAAAAACAAATTACCTGGCGTTATCTACGTCAAATTCTCAAAGAGAACAATAAGAGACGTTTTAAAAGCTACAATGGGAAAAACACTAAAAGTTAATGAGGAAGAAATTAAAATTTTAAAAGACATTCCATTTGAGATCTGGAAACGAAGACGTCAATATAAAGACTTAATTCTTTTCCTGCAAAATAAACTAATAACTTACAGATGGAGCTTTCCAGAAGGACTTGTGTTCAAATAGAATGACAAGAAAATTAAAACTGTCCAAAAGGCCAAAAACTTTTTGAAACGACAACTGGGTGCAGATAAAGACAATGATCCAAATTTGGAGGAAGGAGAGGAACCCAGCGAGGAAGAATTGGATAATATTTCAAGTGATTCCAGCAGTTCAACTTCAGAGTCTGAGAAAGGAGTAGCAGCACCCAAAACACCAAAAGTGAAGAAGAAGCGCAAGAAATAAACGATTTATTCTGGATTTCAAAATTTTTGACTTTAGTGTAACTAAATCTTGACAAAAGTTTGAACTCTGTTTTTATACTTATTAATATATCATATTATTGCAGGAGTGATTTATGTATCTGTAACATAACATAAAGCTCTTCTCTTAAGTTAGTAGTAGTGTTTTCCCCTGTCCCCTCACCTTTAGAATGTAGGATTTAGATTATAAAAACAATTTATAATCTAACCCACACTGACAGAATCACTTCCCACAGTCCAAGCATTCTCTCTCTCACACACAGCAATTCCTTGGCATTTCACAGAAATAAAAACATAGTGTCTGGGAAATAAAATTCAGATTCTTCATAAAATACAATTTCTGTTAAAAGATACCCTGCGTTCAGCACTTACAGAATTCTACAACGTAGAGAAGCAGCAGCCAGTGAAAACTTTGCCACAAATTCAATTATGTTTTCCTCTGTACTATTTAAAAGAAATAATAGTTTATTCGGCCTAGGAAAGTCTGAAACACTACCCAAAATTGGTGATAAAATACGTTGCCTAATACCAAAATAATAACAACATTCAAACAGCACATGGTACACTGTTTCAATATTTTTCATATGTACAAGGGCAAAGTCTATTTGCAAAGGGGATACCCTTGAAGCTTCCAAATAAAATTGCAGACGGTAAAACATTAAGCCTGGCCAGTGTAAAAATTCTGCACAATTTTGGAGATTGCTGTTGAAAAAAATAATGGGCAAGCGTCCTACAATGGGAAATATCCCATGGCTCAGAGGAGAACAAGTCTTATTAGCTGCATTGTACAAGTTCCACAAATCTGTCTCCAGTAATCTGCTCCTTATTTTGTGAAACACCTCCATTTCCGAGAGCATCAGCATAGATTCAAGAGGGATATTCAAGGAACTCAGGTCTTTTTCTATAGTGGCAAGCCAGAGTCCAAGCATTCAAAAGGCTTCTTCTCTGTGTGGCTTCTTAGATGCTTTTGAAGAGTCCCACTCCGACTGAATCTCTTACCACACTCGGAGCATTCAAAAAGTTTCTCCCCTGTGTGGGTTCTTAGATGACTTTGAAGAGTGGAACTGCAAGTGAATCTCTTCCCACACTCTGAACATTCAAAAGGCTTCTCCCCTGTGTGGGTTCTTAGATGACTTTGAAGACCACCACTCTGACTGAATCTCTTCCCACACTCGGAGCATTCAAAAGGCTTCTCCCCTGTGTGGGTTCTTAGATGACTTTGAAGACCACCAATTCGACTGAATCTCTTCCCACACTCGGAGCATTCAAAAGGCTTCTCCCCTGTGTGGGTTCTTAGATGCGTTTGAAGACCACCACTCCGACTGAATCTCTTCCCACACTCGGAGCATTCAAAAGGTTTCTCCCCTGTGTGGGTTCTTAGATGACTTTGAAGACCACCATTCTGACTGAATCCCTTCCCACACTCTGAGCATTCAAAAGGCTTCTCTGCTGTGTGGGTTCTTAGATGCTGCTCAAGATTACCACTGCAACTGAACCTCTTCCCACATTCAGAGCATTCAAAAGGCTTCTCCCCTGTGTGGGTTCTTAGATGCTTTTGAAGAGTGCTACTATGACTGAATCTCTTCCCACACTCTGAGCATTCAAAAGGCTTCTCCCCTGTGTGGGTTCTTAGATGACTTTGAAGACTGCCAGTGCGACTGAATCTCTTCCCACACTCTGAGCATTCAAAATGTTTTTCCCCTGTGTGGGTTCTTAGATGCTGCTCAAGATGGCCACTGCAACTGAACCTCTTCTCACAGTCGGAGCATTCAAAAGGCTTCTCCCCTGTGTGGGTTCTTAGATGACTTTGAAGAGTGGAACTGCAAGTGAATCTCTTCCCACACTCTGAACATTCAAAAGGCTTCTCCCCTGTGTGGGTTCTTAGATGACTTTGAAGACCACCACTCTGACTGAATCTCTTCCCACACTCGGAGCATTCAAAAGGCTTCTCCCCTGTGTGGGTTCTTAGATGACTTTGAAGACCACCATTCTGACTGAATCCCTTCCCACACTCTGAGCAGCTGTTGAAGATGGACACTCTGACTGAATCTCTTCCCACACTCGGAGCATTCAAAAGGCTTATCCCCGGTGTGGGTTCTTAGATGATTCTGAAGAGTGCCACACTGACTGAATCCCTTCCCACACTTTGGGCATTCAAAAAGTTTCTCCCCTCTGTGGGTTCTTAGATGTTTTTGAACATCTCTGATTTTAATGAATCTCTTCCCACACTCTGAACAGTCAAAAGGCTTCTCACCTGTGTGGATTCTTTGATGCTGTTGAAGAGCACCACTCTGACTGAATCTCCTTCCACACTCTGAGCATTCAAAAGGCTTCTCCCCTGTGTGGGTTCTTAGATGACTTTGAAGACCACCACTTTGACTGAATCTTTTCCCACACTTGGAGCATTCAAAAGGCCTCTCCCCTGTGTGGGTTCTTAGATGACTTTGAAAGGAGCTGTGATCTGGTTCTGAAGGACTTTTTGCACCAAAAGCATTTACGTGCATTTACTATCCTGTGCTTTGGAAAATATACATTACCTTTTCCTCCTTCAGAGAATGCCATTCCAATCCCTGACCGAATAAATAGCTTCTCTCCTGAGCAAATCCTTTGGTGTCTAACAAGGTCTGATTTCTCTGAGAACCTCTTGCCACAGTCTGAGCAGCTATAAGGTTTCTCTCCTTTATGCGTTCTTTGATATCTAAGGAGATCTGCTCTGTAAATCATGGTTTTTCCAGACTTCTTTCCACTCTGCATTTGTAAATGGACCTTATACTGGGATTGATCTGAGAAGTTCATTCCACACACTTGGAACTTCCCCCCTTGGCAAGGAACAGATTTACTCCTCTTCTTGACCATGTGGCTTCTTTTTCCCCTCTTGGGCCCTACTTGATTGCTGAAGTTTCCTCTCAAGTTTTCATTCCTGACTTCACCTGGCAATTGAGGGTGCAGTTCTTCATCCTCCTCATTCCTCTGAGCATCACCTGCTGGAATAGAGAAAGAGATCCAGGTTTAACCCACACAATGGGGTCTGATCTTCAACCGAATTTCCTCCTGCACTTTGAATATTTCAGTGGCTTCTTCCTGGTGTATACTGAAGTGTACAATAATATACACTTACAAAGTATTTAATTGTATTTATGATCATTGTAAGCCACCCTGAGCCCGCCTTGGTGGAGAGGGCGGAGTATAAATTAATCAAATAAAACAAATAATCCCTCATAGTGGGGACAGGAGGAGATGGTGCCGGCCAGCATTGGAGAAAGCCAGGCATCGGGGTGCACTGAGTGGACTGGTATACCTGGCTTTTCTGCGTATGTGTGTGCTTCTGTGGCAGACGCTTTCCTGCTTCAAGAGGCTGGAAGGGACTTCGCCGTTTGGAAGGAGTTGGTTGCTTCCCTCTTGGGGAGATGGAAGGTGGCTACAGTGCTTTCTCTATCCTGTTGTGGCTCAAACAAACTGCTTTTCAACTGAGACCCTGACTCTGTGTGTACTGGGCTGAAAGTTTCAGTGGGGATCCCTTCACTAACACATGGCTCCGCCCTCTAGGTGTGAAGACTGATTCCACTCAACACCACAGAGGGTGCTGTGTGATTTGGCTTAAGCCACTTACCCTTGGGTTTCAGTGTTAACTGGTGGGACTACCCGCTACAAGCCACCCCTGCAAGGTAGTACAGCTGAGCAGTTGGGTTAAAACAGATAAAATGAAGTACTTCTTCACCCAAAGAGTGATTAACACACGGAATTCACTGCCACTAGAGGTGGTGGCGGCTACAAGCATGGACGGCTTCAAGAGGGAATTAGATAAGTGTATGGAGCAGAGGTCCATCGGTGGCTATTAGCCACAAGGTATAGATAGGGACTCTCAGTATGGGGCAAGTGATGTTCTGTATTCTTGGTGCTTGGGGGGGTCAATAGTGGGAGGGCTCCTAGTGTCCTGGCCCCACTGCTGGACCTCCTGATGACACCTGGTATTTTTTGGTCACTGTGTGACAAGAGTGTTGGACTGGATGGGCCATTGGCCTGATCCAACATTAGCTTCTCTTATGTTCTTAAAGCACTCAGACCCATCTCCACCTACCAGAAAGGCCTGAAGGCATCCAGGGGACTGCTGTAGGAATGTTTTGATGTGCCTTTGGCCTCGTCCAGCAGGACTGTTCTTAGGTAACCCCCCCCCCTTTCCTGGCATATCCAGTATTTGAGGACAGTGCAACCCCTCAAGAGCTGCAGCTGAGCTCAGTCCCAGAAGGAGCTTCCGAGCCTCCAGATTCGAGGACCCAGAAGGCCTCCCTCCCTCCGTACCCAGCAGGCTTGATCATTCTACCAAACCAAGAGTTGCTTAGAAGCGGAAAGTTCCCATGAGTATTCCTTGCCTGTTCCCTTGACATAACTGTGGAGGACACTCACTTGCAGCCAGTTCTTTTGGGAAGGAAATAGTCTCTTGAGATCTTCCTGAGAAACCCTCCAGCCATTCTCAGACACAAGGCCATTGTCTGTCTCCACCATAGACTCTCTTACATTCCTGCCTTCTTGGGCAGAAAGAGAGAGGCAGAGAGAGACACAGAGAGAGAGAGAGATTATTCCTATATGGGGAAAAATGGGGAAAAGAGGAAAAATTCTTCTGGAAGGATGGAAACATGGTCAAAATCAACGCCCAGAATCCTGACGACTACAAGGAGGATGGATCCTATACGGATCACAGTCAGAGCTGAAGGTCATAATCCCATCTCAGGGAAGGGCATGTCTATGAATGTGAGAAGACTCAGGATCTTCTGGCTAAAACTATCAATCTTACTGCCTCGTAATACCCTCAGACAGCTTCCCTTGGGTGCCTCTTGCCCATCCAAGAAATCATCTAAGTCCTTCCACTGGGACGGCATGGCCTGCAGCAGTATCCAAGCACCTGGAGACACAATTCATCGTCTTAAGCACACTTCCAGTCGATAAGTAAAGCTGCTGTGTGTTTTTCTATTTCTCCTTTTCTCCCAGCCCAATTAAGGGCTAAAAAGCTAATTAACACCCAGTGCACAGGACATCAAGAAAAGAAGAAAAAACCTTAGACAGCCATCTCCCAAGCCCACCCTCCATGCAATACAAGCCTTCTGACAGGTGTTGTTAGTTAACAGGGCAAGAGCGCCAAATGAGCCCAAATCCTGGCAACACTTGGAATTCTACCCTGCCAGAGCCTCAGGAACTGCTTTCCAAGGGCCTCTCAGCCCCACCTTGGCCTCACGCCAGGGCACACTCTCTGGCTTGGGTGACGGTCACGACACTGGCCAAGCGGAACCATTGATTCCTTTCCCACCCCACCTCCTTGAGGCCCCCAGCAGGGGGGAGGTAGCTGGGCAGTCCTCACAACCACACGTTGCTCTTCAATATTTTGATTCATGCATCACCCCAATGGCCTCTGGCACCTCTGAAAGCTCCTTACCCAGAGAGGCCACACTCCCATAGGTCTCCTGCATGACGTCCCTGTAGAGAGCTCTTTGGCCAGGAGCCAGCAGGGCCCACTCCGCCTCGGTGAAATACACGGCCACCTCCTCAAAGGAAAATGGTGCCTGAAAGAAAAGGCAGGTTCCCCCGTCAGAGATCACTCCAGGCAGAGACCACACTCTCTACGGGGGCATTCTGAGAGGGCACAGGAGGTAGAGTTTGCTGTGTGTAAAGGCAGTGGGGTTCACAGCCTCCCTCTCCTCGGTCAGCAGGACCAAAAGCCTCCTTGACAAAAAAAGGAGGGACCCGACTATCCCCCATCCTTCCCCCCCTACCTGGACCAGACGTGGAGCAGCTGTTTCCACTCCTCTGCAAAGACGAAGGCTTGACAACATCTCTTCACTGCCTGCAAGGGAGAGAAAACTGGAAGGATGAATGTTCACCTCAAGTTCCTATTTTATTTGCTTCTCTGAATTCTGCTTCACGCATCCCTGTTCCCAGGGTTGTGAAACCTTGTTGTCTTTACATTCAAGAAAATTTGTAATGACTTTTAGTAAAGTGTGGGAGAGAAGCATCAGTTACCCATGACCCTCGGGGTGTTATAAATATTGCCCATGCTTCTGTGAGGTTTGAAATGTCCCCTGTGAACCCTGGAGCTCCAAAGGTTGCAGCATCCTTGCTGGATGAGACCAAAGGCCCAGGCATGCCATTCTCCTGCCTGCCGGGCCTTCCCACCTGTCCTGGAGTCTGGGCTGGCAGGAGAAACAGAGGGGACTGGAAATCATGTTGCACGACACGTTGCAATCACATCCAAAACCCAGATGTGATTTTAGTGCATCAGCCAAGGTTCTGCAGGTTTTAGAGTACTATCAATGTGTTTCCAGAGCATCTGGTATTAGGCCAGATGAAACACTGACATGACATGATGTCCACCCCATGCTCCACCCTCACCTGTATTCTAGCATCCTTAGTCGAGTATCCTCTTTCTCACTGTGGCTCACGAGATGCCCAATGGAAAGCCTTTAAGCAGGGGCACAGAACCCAAATCATTGGCCCCCAGCAATGGGGTTTCAGAGGTATGCTGCCACAGAATAGGGTGTGCATCTGTTTGTAAAGTGGTGTTAAGTCACAGCTGACTTATAGTGAACGCAGAGTTATTTAAGGCAAGAAACATTCAAAGGTGGCATGTCACTGCCTGCCTCTGCATAGCAACCCTGGATTTCTTTGTCGGTCTCCCATGCAAGAACTAACCGGGCTGCCCCTGCTTAGTTTCTGAGATCTGATGAGACTGGGCCAGCCTCGGCCATCCAGGTCTGGGGAACGTGGACGTTCCAGTTATTCACCATGGCTAACAGCGACACCCATATTTCTCCTCCTTTCCTTTTTTGAGCCAACTTGAAACCCTCTAATGGAAGGAAGCTGAGATGTGCATATTTTTATTCATGTAAATAAGAATGGAATGGCCTTCCATCATTCCGTTTACTCCCCCTTAAAGTGGTGTGGCCATCACTACATCCTATGGCGCTATGTCCCAGAACTCAATGCTATGTCGTCTGCAAAAGTATTCCCCTTTTCTCCTGTCCCGAACCTTCCACCCAACAACCTGAGTAGGTACCCCGATCCCTTCTGGGCATGAGGCACCCTTACCACTTGACAGGGCATCTTGGGCATGCTCCTGGGCCTGTGCCCTCTGACTTTCCTCCGACGGAGATCCTTCTGCCTCAGAGGACTTTGCTTCCATCTTCAGGGATTGTCCCCCCATCTGAAACAACAGCAAGGGACACGGGTAAGAGAAGTAATTGAACCGGCTGAGGAGATGGATCCTGACCCCCAGTCTCCTCATCCCTGCCTCCACCATCAGAGCTGCTTCAGCCACACGGGCAAGAATCAGGATTGGGGTTTTTCCCAGCCTAGTGAAACATTTAGTGGCAGAAAAGTCTAAGAAAAGATGGCAACAATACGCTGAAGAATTATACAAAAGAGAGAGAGAGATGGAACGAGAAATGCCAGATGTTCAAGCTGGATTCAGAAAAGGACACGTTACTTGAGATTATACTGCAAATTTAGGTCGGTTATCGGAGCATATGAGTGAATTTCAGAAGAAAATCAGCTTGTGTTTCGTAGATTACATTACACCAAAGCTTTTGACTGTGTGGATCATGGGTGTGCCACAACGTCTGATTGCTTTGGTGCACAACCGATACTCTGGAGCCACTGTTTGTACAGAGTATGGAGAAACAGAATGGTTTCCAAACTGACAAAGGTGTCAGACCACGACATATTTTATCTCCCTGTTTCTCCAATCTCTATGCAGAACATATCATAAGGAAAGCTGGATTGCAGTTAGACGAAGGTGGAATGAAAATTGGTGGAAGGAATTGTAATAATTTGAGATATGAAGCTGACACCACATTACTGGCAGAAAATAGTGAAGATTTGAAAAACCACTAATGAAAGTTAAAGCAGGAAGTGCGAAAGCAGGATTACAGCTGAACATCAAGAAGACACAAAAGTAATGACTAGTGTGAAACGACAAAAATTAAGGGTTCGTCATGAGGAACTTAAAATTGTTAAGATTTTCTGTTCTTTGAGTCCATTTTCAAGCAAAAGGGAGACTGCAAACAAGGAATCAGAAGGAGACTGAGGCTGGGAAGGAGAGCCAAGAAGGAGCTAGAATGTGTCACTGGTGACCAAGATCAAGTTCATTCAGGCCATAGTATTCCCCATTACTATGTGTGGGTGTGAAAGTTGGACAGTGAAGAAAGCTGGCATGGAGAAAGTTGATGCTTTTGAAATGTGGTGTTGGAGGAGAGTTTTTACAGATCCCATGGACCGCCAAAAAGTCAAATCAGTGGGGGCTAGTCCAAAATCAAACCTGAACTCTCCCCAGAAACTAAAATTACTAAAATGAGGCTATTGTACTTTGGTGACATTACGAGAAGACAGAAGAAGAGGAGGAGGAAGAGGAGGAGGAGGAGGAGGAGGAGGAGATTGGATTGATACCCCGCCCTTCACTACCCAAAGGTGTCTCAGAGCAGCTTACAATCTCCTTTCCCTTCCCCTCCCCTCAACAGACACCCTGTGAGGTGGGTGGGGCTGAGAGAGCTCTTGACGGAAACTGCTCTTTTTCAAGAACAGCTCTTATCAGAGCTACGGCTTGCCCAAGGTCATCCAGCCAGGTGCAAGTGGAGGAGTGGGGAATCAAACCTGGTTCTCCCAGATTAGAGTCCGCGCACTACACCAAACTGGAAATACAATAATGCTAGGAAAAGTTGAAGGCAGCAGGAAAAGAAGACCAAACATGGGATGGATTGACTGAACCAAGGAAGCTGTGGCCCTCAGTTTGTAAAACCTAAGGAAGGACGTTTTGGAGGACATTAATTTAAAGGGTCGCCCGCCATAAGTCAGAAGCAACTTGATGATGGTTGACATGCACACACACACACACACACAGAAATATCCAACAGGAAGCCTAAGGCTAAGGCCAATGCATGAACACTTCCATCTTGCACGGATTATCCCCACATCTGAAAAAAACAGCAAAAGGACACAGGTAAGAGAAGGAATGGAACCAGCTGAGGACGTGGATACTGACCCTCACCTGCTCCGCCTGCCTCTTCTCTTCTGCCTGACTCAGGAGGAAACCTTCGGCCAGGGCCACCGCCTGGGAACTGGTCTCTGGATCGCATCCTCTGACCCAGCGTTGCACTTCCTGGGGCAAGGCGGCCAGGAACTGCTCCAGGATCACCAGGTCCAGGATCTCCTTCTTGGTGTTCCTCTCCGGCTTCAGCCAGTGGTTGCAAAGTCCATGGAGCTGACTGCAAAATTCTCGGGGCCCATCGGCCTCGTGGTAACAGAACTGCCGGAAGCATCGGCTACGTGCATCTGGGGTCATAGTGACCTCAGCCAGGATCTCTGGCACAGCTCTCTCCCAGAATTCAACGCCACTCCCTGCTTGGATGGGATTGAGACCTTTCCTTGATCTCTTGCCAGTTCCAGGGCCTTCTGGGTCCTTCTCTTCCATCTCCTTCCTCTTTCTCTTGGGGTGCCCCTGACTGTGGAAACGGACTCTTCTTCTCTTGCCTGTGAAGAGGGAGAGGGAAAGATACCAAAAGGCAGAAAGAAACCAAAAGAGAATGGAGTTATATATCACTGACCCTGGTCAAGTGACATCTAAGTGGATCAGAAGGAGCGTCCATGTTGTAGTCTGTGGATCAGGATGACCACAGACTACAACATTGTGCTATATTAAGTATCACGCTTTTAAAGATATGCTTGTTTGGTTCTTCAGGAAAGAAAAACATTCCTATTTGGCTCTTTAAAAACCTGCTGTGGATGTTATGAGCTTGGTCTCTGGTTTTTGGGGGCCAGTCTGTCTAGTGGGCGCACCTCAAGGTAAAGTGGAGCCCGGGACAAAGCGGCTGGTCTAAGGGCTTCACCACTGCAGGCAGCTCCTCCATAGGCCGGAAGGGCTGGCCGATAGCTCCGGCCAAGCAGCCAGCAGAGGGGCCTCCATCCTCTCCAGGTCAAGGCAACAGGGGCTGCTGGGGTGAGCAGGAGGAAGCAAAGGCCCTCATCTGCTTCCTGGTTGCTATGGTTAAATGGCTAAGAGTGAACGAACTGGAACTGAGCCCTGGAGAGACAGATGCAGTACAGGCTGAGAAAGCAGCAGTCTGGAAGGACATTATGTTCATTTGTTTTCGATGGGATTCTGCTAACCCTCGCCAACCCAATTAAGAAGAAGATGAAGAGGAGTTGGTTTTTATACCCTGCTTTTTACTACCCAAAGGAGTCTCAGAGCAGCTTACAACCTCTTTCCATTCCTTTCCCCACAACTGACACACTGTGAGGTAGGTGGAGTTGAGAGAGCTCTGAGAGAAGTGCCCTTGAGAGAACAGCTTTGAAAGTACTAGTGAATGACCCAAGGTCACCCCGCTGGCTGCATGTGAAGCAGTGGGGAATCAAAAGGGAATTAGATAAGCATATGGAGCAGAGGTCCATCAGTGGCTATTAGCCACAAGGTACAGATAGGGACTCTGGGGCAAGTGATGCTCTGTCATCTTGGTGCTTGGGGGGGTGGGTCAACAGTGGGAGGGCTTCTAATGTCCTGGCCCAATGGTGGACCTCCTGATGGCACCTGGTATTTCTGGCCACTGTGTGACACAAAGTGTTGGGCCTTTGGCCTTTGGCCTGATCCAACATTGGCATCTCTTATGTTCTTATGTTAAATCCGGTTCTCCAGATTAGAGTCCGCCACTCTTAACCACTACACCAAACTGGCTCAATGTTATACTGGACTCAACATTATTGCTGTAGAAGCAAGGTAATGCAGTTGCAAAAAAGGCTTTCACCCAGCTCAGCCTACCTTGAAAAATGGCCCTTCCCTTGATATAGCTGATCTGGCCACGGAGCCGGATCATGCCACAGTGACATACACACTAGACTACATCAATGAACTGTTGGATCCTACTGTGACATTTTGCAGCATTTCGTGGGTCATGTTAATATTTTTGCTTTCCTTCAACACTGTTTTTCAAATTTCTGGTTTGTCCTAGAATCCAAATTCTGTTGCATAGTTTATAGAATGTATTGATTGGATTGAGTCCCACTAAATGACGCACTATAATTACTATAAAAGAATAAAATAACGTAAATAACACCCACCCACCCCGGGAAACTACAGATGGGGGGAGCACTGGCCAAAAGGCGTGGTATTTGGGCATCCACTCGGCATGAAGGATTCCTCCCCTGTGACCATACCGGGCCCTTCTTCCTGGGCCTCCCTCTTCCCTCCCTGGCTGAGAATTTATTTCGATCTAAAAAATTCAGATCCCGCCTTTCAGCCCCTGCCAAGGGCACCACGTGGAAGAACAAATGAAAACATACATCAGATAAGTATGTTTTTAAACGATTGAACACCTCCCCAAGACACATCACAGCCAAATGTCTGTTTTCCAAGACTGTAATGACTTACTTGAGAGTAAACCTTCCCAGGATCCGTCCGTTGCAAGGCTTCTCTGGACTGTTCCCCTCCACCCCCCCCCCCACAGCGCTCGGCTGTTTTAACCTTCTCAGAGCTGCAGAGGAATGGAAGAAGCTCCCTGCCCTTGCCACAGAGAGCGGCGCCCAGACCCCCCGCCGGGCGGGACTTGAGCCGGGCTGCCGTCAGGGCTGCCCTATGCAGCCCACTGGGATTGCTCTAGAGTCACTCCGCACAGGGTTGCGCTCCCGCAGAATCCCAGGCTGGGCGGGCATCCCAGCAAACGCTTTTTAAAAATTAGGAGGAAAAAAAGAGAAGCAAATTGAAGCACCTTGTAGGGGGGAAGGTGTTCCGCCCAGTCCTGCGGGGGAATTGGTGGGAAACCTGCAGCTTTCTCCACGAGTCCTGCCCTCCCCTTTTTAAAGGGAAAAAATTGAGTGGGCGAGGATAAAATACTTCTAGCTTAGTTTTTACCTACCCCCCGCGCCCCCCCCGCGCGCGCTATTTAAGATAAGAAAGAATAATTTTCTCGGGCTAAGTGGCGGTACTGGAGAGCGGTCGTTTCTTCAGGACTAAGTACAACGTTAGTGGTGTATGAAGTTCCCTTGGGAGAGCGATCATTTTGATTGACACATCTCCTGGTTGCTCGGGATTGTTAGTTGACAGTGTCCTGGCAGGTTTAAACCCCTCAAATTCTTTAGTGTTTTTTAAAAAATAAAATAAAGCAAGCCGCAGCTGCCCTCTCGTCTCTGGTGGGAATCCTTTCCAGTCCCACCATCTTA